GCAGCTGAAGATCCCGGTGATTATCACGAAATCTGCGCACTTGAAGTTTGGCGAGTGTCAGTAATATTTATCGTTTTTCGCCAAGAATATCGGCGACTGCGGTACTTTTGTTCCGCGTCACGCGGTTTGATTAATGGCTTACCCGCGATCGTTGTCCCGAAACTTTATCGTCGCTCGTACGTATCTAATAGGACTTCGACGTTCGTGTTATAACTACCTAGTACCTACACGTGATAATATTATTATAAAGTTAATACGTCCAGGCCTCGTGTGCGGCGATTACGCTGCTACAATCGCGAATCGGTGCCTTTGAATTTGAATTTTAAAATTGCCCAAATCGTGTTTTTTTTTCAGGAAATCAATTGATGTGTTTTTTGAGTTTAGGGACTCAACTTGGATACATCTGCTGCAGTTCATAATAATATAATTACAACCGTATTATATCCTCTTAAGTCTTAATACGGTCGTCCAAAAATATCGAAACCTGATATAAGTTGTCCGGTATACACTATTCTTTTTTTCTGGCATATAAATGATTAATTTATTTATTCGCGGGGAAGAGCGTGTGCACAAATATTTTTCGCTAGTCTCTGCGGTCTTCCGCGAGCGTAGGAAGTAGGCGCGTGTGTCCAACGCTCGTTATCGTTTCCGGTGCCTCGCAGTAACGTGTCTGAACGCCACGTAATTTCCTTCTCAAATTGAACTAAAATAAAAAGCGTTTTCCGTTCATACAATAGTACCTATATATTCAATACAGTGGCATTTTTCAAGTATTTGAACAATGAAACGAAATTGCATCTAGAAAGTTGTATTAATAACGCCATACAGTCATATACATAATACATATCTCTATTTAAATGTAAAATAAGTTTTTTTATTGACTGTTAATTTCAGAAATATCTGGATCGATTTAATTAGAAATCATGTCAAATAGATCTTAATTCCTTGTTGAGACACGAATGGTGTTTTATAAGCTTCTTTTTTCAACCCTTTTAGGTTGCTATTGTGTGGATCACAGTCTCATCCTAGGATTTCGTTTTAGCTCACAAAAATCAAATACATTTTGTTTAATAGGATTACCATTAGTTTTCGGAAATACAATTAAAAATAAAGATATATAGAAAGCTTATAGTTAAAAAATATACCAAGTGCTATATAGCCTATCCACAACAGCCAACAGGTTAATAATTGCTTATTTTGGTGTAGATATTTAGTTCACTAAGCGATATATATCCCTATTCCGATTTTTCCGTTAATTGAGATACAGACATACAGTTAACATTATTATAATATATAGTACAAGTCGTCTGCGCTTTAATAATAATAAACACKCTGTATGGCGATATTATGATATATTATGATAGTCAGGTATAATGATTGTATGGAAGTCGTGTCACCGCCGCCGCCAACGAGCGTATAATACGATGAGGAGCTTACGCGCAGATCGACGCCAGTGTGGGCATCATAAGACGTCGACGATGATTACGACGAATGCCATCCGAATCTTTTATTTAACATAAATATTAAATTACATTCACACACTATAAAAATTACCACAATTATTACAATACAATATACATAGTATCATCTTGCGCGTGGCTGTGAGCTGACGACTCGTCACGGCGACGACGACCACTGACTGCACCAGCCCCCGCACAGCCCGTCGACAGAGCGTGCATTGTATAATATACAGAGTGAGCATCACGACCGTCGCCTGCACGCGCGTAGAATATAGGCACATTATGATATAGCGTTTGGTACAATATACAATATTATAGTAATGTTTGGCCGAGTATGAAAGACGTACGTAAAGGATTTTTGTTATTTTTTTTACGACGCTTTTAGACTGTTCAAATACATTCGGCGTTATTTATAAATGCGCTTTAATGTAATTCCATCATATATTACGTATACATACCACCTATGTGCGTGTGCATACGAGTACGTATATATTATATTCACTAATGGTTTTTATATACATTTATTTTTTTCCGTCTGGCCTTCTTTGAATAACGTAAAGTCTCGCTGAGAGTATAATAATAATAATAATACATAGACAGACAGAGAACCGGTTTACCGTACCGCACGACCGTTTCCACCCACCATAGTCGCGCGTTCGTCATTAAAAGGCATTCCAAAAAGTCGGCAGACGAAAGATGTGTGGAAAAACATCAAACGACAAAGTTTTCGGGAACAGATAATGAGTGCACCTACTGGCGGTATACTTTTTCGGCCAGAAACCCGTGTATATTAAGAAGTATAGGGATACCACATTGGTAAATTTATTTCAAATGATATATACCGCAACCTCCATAAATTATAATCAGCGGATTCTAATGGGTATATAAAATTTAAACTGGTTTCCATATATTTTATATTATTTTTATATACGCGTGCGCAAACATGATATATCGTAGTATGACTGGTTTTTTACTTATAATATTATGTTGATTTTTTTTGTGATTTTTATTAATGAAGTCCACATCCGGTGCCAAGCACTTTACAATCTAATAGAGTTACCTTTACAGCGATACCTGCACGCGGATTTTCGACGATCCCAAAGCGAATAGTAATGTGTAATATATTTTTTTTGCCAAAACATTCGTGAAGATCGTTAATTGAGCGACTCGATACAAGTACGGATTTAGCACTAAGTGATGGGATATCGGTTCTGACTTTTTTGAACTGGTATTTTATATTGCACGTCTGTGCAAGATTTAACAAAATAATCATACCTAAATCTATTTGGCAGGTATACCTATCAATATTATATGACACGATGAACGGAAAACGTACGACTTACGAGTCGTAAAGAAAAAGAAAAAATAACTAGTTAAGTAGTAATAAACAACGTCAAATTTATGTACATCGACCGATTATGTTAATCCTCAAGTCCGAAGCTCGTGTATCTGCGCTTACTTTTATCGGATTATGGGGTAAAAATACGTGTTTATTATATCGTAGTAATTCGTTATACGTAAAATATAATAATATAACTCTATATTATATACGTATATAGAAACGCCACGCATACATTATTTTACACGCGTAATTTGACTACACGAATTTGACGGGAATCGCACAGCGTGGGGTTTTCGAAAAAATAATCCCCGAACCAGGGGTATGTGTGTGTGTGAGTGAGCGCGGGTTAAAAAACAAATTCCCTATTAATGTTATATTTTTTTACCGGCACATCGTACGTTCGGTCTCTGGCGCATAAAGACATTATATTGTTATATCTTATAATATAATATATACTCTCTCACACAAACAAACACACACACTATACAATATAATATAATAATAATATGTAATAACGCCGAGCGGAGGACCTCTTGCGCGGGAGAGATTAACAGTGAACAGATAATAATAAAATATATTATTATATGGTTAGTGAGAGAGAGAGACGGAGACTTGACTACGTTGCCGCCCGGCGCGCGCGTATCAGAACCGGTCTGTCCAGAGGCGATGGCGAGGTGGCAACGTGGCATTTTGGGCCTGGCCTCCGTTGCACGTTGGACAGAATGAGGTTGGTGTATATTTATATATATATACGTGTGTACGATATTACACGACTATAGTGACTATATATATATATATATATATAATATACACATCGCCGCCGCGAACGTACTCAATACACGCGTTTATAATATATTATTAATATAAGATATACATATACGACGACGGTAGAATACTGAAAGAGCAACGTATATATAGTATACCAACACTATGCGCGGACAAGATAAATTGAATTTCCAACGGTCCCGAAGCGAGTGCGGTGTGGCCGAGAAGGAGACGCGATGTTTCGGAATGAAAAGGCTTGTGCTGCAGTGTAGTGATTTCTCGTGGCCATGAAACGTTCGTCGTCATTATAAAATATCTTATGCCGCGCACCGCTGGCGTGTACGACACCCAATATTATACCACATAAATAATAAATAATATCAATAAAAATAACGATGTAACTTTATTACCTACGTTATTTTCTGTTTTGCCCATTACGACGTTTATTGTTACATATTATTATTATTTTACTCGCGGTTATTGGCGGTTTTCAGTTATCGGCCGCGGTCGTAGTCGCGGAAACGCCTTGAAAATTAGGGGCGTGCTAAGGGTGGAACATAAGAATATACGCTTTGGCGTTTTTCCCACTTCCTTCTGCAGGCGTCCGTCCGCCGATGACTACCTGCCATGTGCACCGCTGCAAGTCTTGGTTGCGGGGGCGGTGAGCGGACAGGTGGCTTGTACGACTACGCGCTGCTACTTTTACACCCACTATTCCGTCCCGATTTCGTAGCTACCGACGCTCCCGCCTCCGCCGTGATTGTTATTGTCTGTTCATTGTCGTGATCGCCCTCAATCCCCTCCCGCAACCCTTTCCACGCGAGTCAACGGAAACGTGTCGCGGTCCACGACCGTCAAGTCGTGACCGGACGAGAGACTATATACTAATTTCTTCACGTACATGTGCGCACCCAACTAACCAACGGCTGACAATTATTCGTTTAAACACTTCATATAATGAGTGAGTGTGTGTGTGTTTGTGTGTATGGAATGCGGGAACGCGTTTTTTCTGCAATACTATGATTAATATAATACAGTCTCTTGTGATCGATGATGAAAATATTAAGACGCATATAGCTCCTCCGCTCGTAGAYGAAACGCAATATTATGGCGCAATGAATCAGCTCCCTACTGAATGTATAGATTTCGTTACGGTTCGTTAAGTGTTTTGTGTGCACCATAACTGAGCAATGGCGAGGGAAGAATATTGTATATTATTATATTATAAGAATAGGCTCATAATATCCTTTATATTTTAATATTGTTCGTATCACCTCGTCGCGGTCCGTGGCTGACGACAATATAATATTTTGTATAATTGACTACGCGCACAATATTTTACGCGTAACACGCAGTAATGAGCCCTTTATAACCTTGCCAGGCGCATACGACGTGGTAAACTAATCACAAACGTTGTTTTGTTGTTGTTCTAGGTACATTCATTCCAAGGAGAAACCGTTCAAGTGCACGGAATGTGGCAAGGGGTTCTGCCAGTCGCGCACCCTGGCCGTGCACAAGATACTACACCTGGAAGAGTCACCGCACAAGTGTCCGGTGTGCAAGCGCAGCTTCAACCAGCGCAGCAATCTCAAAACGCATCTTCTCACGCACACCGACCACAAGCCTTACGAGTGCTACTCGTGCAACAAGGTGTTTCGGCGGAACTGCGACCTGCGCCGGCACACGCTCACGCACGCTGTCGGCGACGCGCCGTCCACAGGTACGTTGGGTGGCGGAGGTGCGGCGTCCACGTCGCCCGCGGGTGCGGTTGCACCACGATTGGCTGCAGACGACGAAGACTATTGCGACGATGACGACGACGAGGATGAGGACGAATTGTGTTCGATGTTGCAAACGCCGTCCGGTCGGAGCCGCCGCCGTGGTCGTGACGGTGAAGACGACGAAGACTGCGGCGAGGATGTGGACGACGACGAAGACGTGGACGTAGACGAAGAGGACGCGGTTGCGGCCGCAGCCGGAGCCCCGTCAGAACCGTCGGCGCCAGTCGCTGCCGTCGCCTCCACATCCGCCTGTTCGTCAAGTGGTGCCGAAGCAGCTACAGCCGCAAAACAGGAATCGGCGTCGTCCGTGGACACGGGTTCTGCGACCGCGGCCGTGGCTGCCGCTGATGAGGAAGAAGAGGAGGAGGAGGACAACGGACAGATTTCGCTGTTCCGGCGGGCAGCCGTACCCAGGGCAGTTGTACACGAAACAAAGTGTCACGACGAATCGTCTGCGTATACTATGCGTCCGTCGTCCAGCTATCATCACCACCACAATCGTTACCAACAACAACAACAACAACAACAGCAGCCGCACAACCTTCACCAACCGCAACAACTCCATCTATTCCTACAACCGCCGCTCCTTCACCATCAACAAGTCCAGCAGCAGCAACAGCAGCATCACCACCACCACGCCATGTTGAACGTCAGGAGAGACTTGCACGACCGATCGACGAGAATGGTGATGCCGGTACCGTCACCACAAGCGTTGCCTTCGCCGCAGCCGCCCGCGTACCAATCGCTTTTCCAATCGTCGTCCGCCGCGCCTGCCGTCTCCGTGCCGCCGCCGACGCCGCAACAGCCGCCTGCTAATCAGAACAACGGACAGCCTGCCCCGCCCAAGCGCAAAGGGTTCAGCATCGACGAACTGATGAGTTAACGCGTGGCACGCGATCTTCGGCCCAATACGGCCGCGCACGATCGAATAGGACGAAATTCAATGTACATAATGTAGATTACGTTTTAGTTATATGTTATAAAGATTTCGATTTTACATATTGTTTACGTCACGTGAATCATTCGCAGTACCAGTGAAAGCATTTAAAACAAATGTCGGACGCTCGAGACCTGATCTCGGAGATTCGTGACAGTTTTTTTTTTTACAAGATTTAATATTTAAATCTTAAAACGAGATATTGCCGTCCAGGTTTTATTTATTATTTTTATTATTAAAATATATTAGTTACGCAAATCTAAATTATGGGTACATATAGAGTGTATGATATGTATTCTTTTACCATATATATTGTATAGTATTATATGTTATGTGCGAAATAAGTTTTATTTTTAGTTAAGTACGCGAAGAATGAAAATAATTTTAAATAAAATTGTTAACAAATTGTAGATAGCATATTTAATATTATAATTTTGTTTTAGTGATCTCAATACTTTATTATCCGACAACCCATTTCTACATTAGTTTTAAGTTCAAACGTGCAAATGTTCTATCGTTTTAGTATTTAAATTATTGTTTAGTGTGTACCTATACAATTATTATGTAATATTATATTTTACGCGTGTGTACGTTTTATTATTTGTATATTATGTATTACTATTACCTTTAGATATAGGTACTTACTTTTGTAAACAACTTTCATTATATAGACTGTTAAAGTTTAAGATTATTTTTGCATATTATATGGTTAAAATATTTAATATATTATTATGTTTTTTATTGATAGGAAGAATGTAACGTTTTTATTATTTATATTATAATGAGTTCCAAACTGTTCCGCGTTCGAATTAGTTAACGGAATCTGTTTTGATTGTTTTGCAATAAATAGATTTTTAAATATTTTTATTATTATATTAGACGATTTAGATTAATATGAAATTATTGTTTATGCTTAATTAAATGACGTTTATAAGAAATATATAATATAATAAACTAATTTTCCAAGATAAAAATACATTATGATTTGCGTAGGTGTATATTATACTACCTCCTCACGACTTTCGATAGTCACGTGCACTTGTGTCGGTCGCCTGCGATCTTTGCACGATGTTCGCCAAACTGCATGCAGGTAAAACACAGAAATCGGCCTGGTAATTAACATTCATTTGCCGTGTGAGCCGTATAAATCTTTCGGGCCGGGCAGTGACATTAAATTATGCAAAGCGCTGCGAGAATGTGCCGAGATTTGAATAATTAATCGTCTATAGCGCACATATAATGCAGTCTTAAAACCCTCTGCGCACAGAGGTCACGAGAATTATTATTATTATCATCATCATACCGCGTGTGTGATGTAGTGTGTATCGGATTAAAGTCTGTGGAAAAAAAATTAATATTCTCTCGCACGGGAGTGGCGGTGCGTGTGTAACACACCGAACCAGTTTATCCGTTCTAGTTGGGTGGGAGTCGTAAAAAAAAAAAAAAAGAGCGCGTTTTATTTTTTTCATTCTCCACGCTTTACAACACGATGTGATGGTGTTCGTCGAGGGCAAGTGCCGCGATTCTCTTAGTGTATATAATATTAATACATATGTACATATACCATATAAGGTAATATATATATATATAGGTACTCGTACCCCGGTCATAAAAATATACGTATAGGTACAATAACGATAATGATAATCGAATCTCGAGTCTCAGCATTTTTTACCAAATTTTTTTTTTTTTTTTTTAATCCAGTTTGGGACAATAAAATAGTCTGCGGGCCATGGACTATACTAATATAATACGTTGCGCGGCGTATAATAGTGATGTCCGCCGCCGTCGAGTCCTCTCGTGCAACGGAGAACACACGTCGTATAATTTGACGTCATATATAGATAGTGTAATAATTCGGTATATTAATAGTTTATATTTATTATATAAATTATAAACACGAGCAGAGGGATATATACGCGCAGAGACCTGGGGGTAGAAAACTCACAAGGGAGCTATATATATATATATACAGTAAACGAGGACGAGTCCGGGAAGACGTGCTGTGATTGATCCCGCCAAAGTTTTTGGGTATTTATTATTATTATTTTTTTTTTTAAACAATTTATCGACGGCAATAACGATCATAATAATAATCGATAAACCATCGTAACATATATAATATCATATCATGTGATGGATAGCGCGTGTTTTTACCTGCAATATAACATATAAATATATAGTGGCGGAGATCGATGTTCGACCGTCCTCCATACAGTCGCTCGAGGCCGTCGTCCGACGAGTATCGCTAAGACAATAACCACCCCCGTTATACCGGGGGTTAACATACAGGTATAATTCCCAACGGTATGGCGTCATCGTTTTTTCTTTTTCTTTTCAAAATCGGTACAACCGATGGGTCTGCTTTCCGTGAGATACTGCTCGTTATTATTATAAATATTATTGGGCTGTTTCTCGTTTGGCATTCGGCGTGAGAAGACCAACACGTTTTATGACATATTATGTATAGAGTACATCACCGTCGTCGTCGGTTTAAGTTTAAAATTACCAAACTTCCGACGGACACACGTGACACGTTACACAAAAACACATCATTATATTATTATAAAATAGTAGACATGTATTGTGTGCATTACACGAGATTACTGCACAAACGCGTATGTAATCAATTCCATATTATATAATAACGTATATGCGGCACGTATGGTAATTTTTTAAGATGATTATTTAAAATACCGACGTGTACATCGAAATATTGCCGACTGTATGGGAATATATAGGTTTTATCGCAACCGACATGACGTCATAACGGTAGGCTGGTAGGCATTGTAAAAAAAAAAAAAAAAATATTAAAAAATGTATAATATACACGACCAATAAAAATCGTCCGATCTGAGTGCCTTGCGAGCGACAATAAATATGTTTATTATTATACGTGGAACACAAACGGTTTATGGTAAACGTCAAATAAAAAAAATTATAGCTGTGTAGCCTTTGATATATTTATAGTATAATATAATAAATGTATAATAACGAATTCGTAATATTTTTTTAATACGTTCGAGTGGACTTGAACCACTAACTTCTATCATAATTTGACTTTATCTTCTAAAAAAACCTATTAAAATATTTTAATACGTTCGAGTGGACGCGAGTAATAAATATTTCATACGACAAGACGTTACGAAAAATAGGTACATTTTTTTTACTCAGAGACAGATCCACAGATCATAACACATCGCATCACTAATAAAATAAAATAATAACATTTTCTGTTTTGTCTCAAATTATTACTTTTTATTGTTCATATAGATACGCATCAACGCATCGATATCAATATTCCTTATTTGAACATAATTAGTTGATGACGATTTACAAAAGTGCAACTGTAGTATATGTTCATTGTTCATACTTACTAATTACTAATCATTTATTTGGATATAAATTATAATTATTATTTATTAAAATGAGTAATATTTGTATTATATTAAATTATTCTTTCATCTGGCATTCTGACTAATGAAATCGATTGTTTTATAATTAGGGATATTTATTATCCTGGAACTGTTATATTTAATTTGATACTTAACTTAAGATGTGTACACCGATAATAGTATATCATTTTAAATGTCACATGTGGATTCTGTTGTATCTCTTATTTTAAAATTTACTTATTTTATCCACGATAGGTAGTTGACGAGTTAACTCCATGACACGATAAAAGTATACAACTACATATAATATTATAATAGTAATAATATTTTTTTAGATTTACGCATAACATTAATCTAAAATAAAATTCTATAATAGGTATACCTCATACTGTGTATCAATACATTTTGTATACTTTATACACCATACAGTTATAATGTAGATAATCAGAACTCTACTTATGATGGGGAGGGGCTAGTGAGCCGCAGCCACGGACCTTATAGGAATAATTAGGTTCTCATGGATAATTTTGGCTTTATTAAGTCATTCAAGTTAAGTTTGCTTAAGTATCGAAACAAATATTTCTAACATTTACGACAAATTTCTAAATTGTTATCTAGTCGATAGACTTATTCGATAAAGATGAGCAATACATACATAAATCATAWTTATACCAACCGATGAAAAATGTTAAAAGCTAGTATATTATACTACATATTGTGAATTATGTGTATAATATATTATATCATCTTATGAGAAATCGTTTGTCAGTTCGTTACTTTGAGTGCGTGTGAGTTCTCATAATATTATTGTATACTTAATTTATCATTTCACGTTTCTATCAATAGTATCTAAAAAGAGAAAACGCCGACGAGGCGCGCGAAAAAAATGCAAATTAAAAAGAAGAGAGAAATAGTGTAAATAAACACGTTGCCAAAATTATGTGATTTCTTTAAACCTATAGTTAAAGTTTACCATCATTAAAATGTATATAGTAAGTACTCCTAATGCTCAAAATGTATGATATGTTATTGTTAGTACCTAGTGTAGCTATAGTGCATTAGACATTTAAAATTTTGATCAATCTGGTGAGTTATAATATTATATATTGAATCAAAAATCTACAATAGAAAATCATAAGTCGTTAGTGGCCAGACTAGTTACCTAAAGTGAGTACCCAGACATTTTCAATGAGGGAGGGGATTATATTGATCAACAATAAATAATAAGGTATTATAGACTTATTGTATGATTTATTTATAATCGTTTATTTTTGTTTTTATTTTACATTAAGATACACAATTTGTACTATTTAACACGAGTTAATGTGATGATAGAATGAAAARCATATATAAGCAAAATATWGGAGTAAGAAACCCATATAATTATATGTATATTATCTACATTATGTATTATATATATACCACTATATTAGTGATGATGCTTGAAAAATGTTGTTAAATGCTAATCTTAAAAAAAAAAAACGATATAAAGAGTAAAAAGTAAAAGACTTATTATATAATTTAAGTTAATGTGTCCTCAAAATTCCTAATTAAAACTCTGTATAAGATTACAATATCATATAGTTGTACAATATATCAATGTTAAGAATCACATATATTATTATGTTCGGATGTCCCATACTTACATATTTGCTGATTTAATAACAATTTAATGAGAAGATATTTTCAGATTATGTYTTCAAAATYATATTTCACACAGTTTTATTCGCTTACAAGTCGCGTTCTTCCTAACACAAATTATATTATTTTATTATTATATATTAAACATTACATTATTAGTAATAGGTACAATACACGCTATAATATATAGCGGCTATATCGTTTGAATTTACCACTGTCGAATGATTTATAATCATACCAGAGACGCGCGCAAATAATTACAACAATCGTTTTCAATCCAAAATGGAGAGTAATAATTTACAATCACAAATACCACTGCTGGCGGTTAAGCCTTTTTTCATTTTAACAGTAACATAATTATCACGCGCATGGTAGCTACTTCGAGGGGTGTGGGACAAAAATTATAATACCAAYTGACGGTAAATGATGAAATAAAAAAAAGTTCATAAAAACTAATGATACGCGGCAATCTCTACGCTTCTACAGTTTATGATATAGGCAGTGTATCTGGAATTCCGACAGTAATTTCTTTACAC